GTTTGGCGGCAAAAGATTCACATCAAAAGAAAGATGAAGTAAAACATAACTCAAGATGGGTGTATTAAAACTCAGTTGAAGGTGATAATGCTTTGAGACGGCTTGAATGGGTAATGAAGAAAAACTTTAACATAAGTTTAACATGACATCAAATGTTCAACGTTTCGACAAGGATTTGTCATCATCAGTTGAAGGTGGGTGTATTAAAGATCTATTGAAGATAGGTGTATTCAAACTTAGCTGAAGGTGGGTGTGTTAAAACTCAGTTGAAGGTGGGTGTATTAATGCTCAGTTGAAGGAGGGTGTATTAATGCTCAGTTGAAGGAGGGTGTATTAAAACTTAGCTGTAGATGGGTGTATTAATGCTTAGTTGAAGGAGGGTGTATTAAAGCTCAGTTGAAGGAGGGTGTATTAAAACTTAGCTGAAGATGGGTGTATTAATGCTCAGTTGAAGGAGGGTGTATTAATGCTCAGTTGAAGGAGGGTGTATTAAAACTTAGCTGTAGAAAAAAAGTGGAATAAAGCTTATCTAAATAAATACTTGTCATAGGTAGAAAGACAAAACACGCAAAAGCGGGTATACATCAATTAGATCTACTAGAGGCGCGTGATATACCTGAAAGATGACGGTGTGACAAACGAAGCTCAGATAAAGTTTATGGTCAGGTAAGTATAACTAGTGGGCGTAATAAAGCACACACTTAAAGGTGTATGTTATGAGACTTTGTCCTAAATGTTTATGTTATCAGACTTTGTCCTAAAGTTGTGTGTTATCAAACTTTGTCCTAAAGGTGTGTGTTATCAGACTTTGTTCTAAAGTTGTGTGTTATCAAACTTTGTCCTAAAGGTGTGTGTTATGAGACTTTGCCCTAAAGGTGTGTGTTATGAGACTTTACTTTAAAGGTGTATGTTATCAGACTTTGTCCTAAAGGTGTATATTATCAGACTCTGTCCTAAAGATATGTGTTATCAGACTTTGTCCTAAAGGTGTGTGTTATTAGACTTTGTCCTAAAGGTGTGTGTTATCAGACTTTGTCCTAAAGTTGTGTGTTATTAGACTTTGTCCTAAAGGTGTGTGTTATCAAACTTTGTCCTAAAGGTGTGTGTTATTAGACTTTGTACTAAAGTTGTGTGTTATCAGACTTTGTCCTAAAGGTGTGTGTTATTAGACTTTGTCCTAAAGGTGTGTGTTATGAGACTTTACCCTAAAGGTGTGTGTTATTAGACTTTGCCCTAAAGTTGTGTGTTATCAGACTTTGCCCTAAAGGTGTGTTATCAAACTTTGTCCTAAAGGTGTGTGTTATTAGACTTTGTCCTAAAGGTGTGTGTTATGAGACTTTACCCTAAAGGTGTGTGTTATTAGACTTTGCCCTAAAGTTGTGTGTTATCAGACTTTGCCCTAAAGTTGTGTGTTATCAAACTTTGTCCTAAAGGTGTGTGTTATTAGACTTTGTCCTAAAGGTGTGTGTTATGAGACTTTACCCTAAAGGTGTGTGTTATTAGACTTTGCCCTAAAGTTGTGTGATATCAGACTTTGTCCTAAAGTTGTGTGTTATCAAACTTTGTCCTAAAGGTGTGTGTTATTAGACTTTGTCCTAAAGGTGTGTGTTATGAGACTTTACCCTAAAGGTGTGTGTTATTAGACTTTGCCCTA